TGTGTTTTGAGTGCACTGTAAATCTATATTGATCTGGCAAGTTTGTTATATAGTGTTTAGTAAATTTCTCTTGTTTGTTTCAGATTTTAGAATAGATTATTCAATTTGTTCTCCGGGCTTGTTATCAGATCCACGGTAACCTTTTATAGCAAGGTTCATTTAATAGGGTAAACATTTTGATGTCATAATCTTTTGTATCAGCAACTGCAGCGACACTTCCTTTGTCAGATGGTAATATTACAATATTTGGGTCTGTTTATAACTAGGGCTCACTTTTCATCGTTAGATAGATTTGGCTTAGGTTTATATTTTTAGTTTTGGAAAATAATTATTTAATTTCCACTTAATTCATAGTTTTAGTTTGTTTGCAACTTCTTGAATGTCTGTTATGGTGTGAAATGTTGGAGTATTTTAGGAGTAATGTTGCATCATCATCATTGAAGGTAAGTTTTGTTTGTTGTTGAAACTTTTCTTCAGTAAGTAGTCCCTAAAATTTTTTTACTTGTTGTTTTTTGGTGTTTTCATGTATTTTTGTAATTGTAGAATCACATGTTGTTATATTCACTCAATCAGCTGAGTTGACTTTCATTAAACCAGATATTGAGAAAATCAATATAATGGGGCAGTTGAGTAATAATTTTTAAATGATGATGAACTGTTTTGCTTGCAGCTGGTTTGTGTGGTCTTTTAGTGTAAATTGTACAGGGTGTTTTTAAATAGAGGCCTTATGGAATAATACCTTCGTTACAACTCTTTTTAAGGACAGTGCAGTAGTTTTTTACCTTGTCTAAATGGTATCAAAGCTACTAAATTGATTTGAAGAGATTGTACATACTTAGCCCATATAATTTTGAAATATATGTGACATTAAAATAATATTTGGATATTTTTTGAAGATATTTGACATGGTTTTACTAATAAAACTTGTATCATTTTAACACTAAAATTATTTATATATTATTAAAAGTCTTGTAACTTGTCTTGGATAAAATATTAGATATCTTATTAAAATCAAAATGTTTCTTAAAATCCATTTGTATTTTAACTTTTCATGTGAGAGGTTTAACAAAATTAGGCTCATCTGAGTATGCAAACAGACAGTTAGCTGCCAAATTGAATGAATTAGGAGAACATGTGGCTTATAACTTTTTCTTTTAATACAGATTACTCAGTCATATAGGTATAAGGAAATATATCAACTGTTCAGTATAAAGAAATGTCAGGAAGAATGAAGCAAAGAAGAGCTCTCAATCCAGTTGATTTAGCTACTTTGTCTGTTAATGAGCGAATTCTGAGAGAATGCCACAATCTATATGTTGATCCAGAAAATGGTAAGATCATTTTACACTTTTCTCCATGGGTAAAGACATATGAGGATAAAATATGTGTAAATATGTATATATAACTGGATGTATAGTTGTCTTAATGAAAATTTTCTTTGCTTTGGTCACATAATTTCTAAATATCTTAAATTTACAGTACCAGTCATAAAAATGACTCCAATAATAATAAGAAAAAAATAGACCAACTTTGCTACAGAAACTTACAATAATGGAACCATTGTTGATAAAACATTAATAGTGTTTTTTGCTTTGACTCTGTGTGTTATATCCATATATTGTTTTGTATTTACAATAAAAACAGTTATTCACATCATAATCATTATAAGATATAATTGTAATATTTTTATAATGTGTTCTATTGTTGGGCGAGTTCTTTTTGGGTATTTTATAGAAATAATACCCAGTCTAGCCAATCTTATAATAATAAATTAGCTTGTTTTCCTTAATGTTTATTACAGGCTAATTTCATAAATAACAGGAATTTCAAGACTAATGGTACCTACACATAACTTACAACTAAACTTAATGACAGAATGTAATAACTCTCATTTCTAATATTGAATAACTTTTCTTACACTGAACTGAATCACTTTCTCATTACTGAATAACTTTTCTTTAAGTCTTTAATTCCTCATTCATTACCCATTAATTCACCACTTCACTGTATTTGGATGTATACTAAACATAACATCTTACACTCTCAAGCAAACATCTAAGTTAAAACATTGTAAATAAAGCTTACAACAACATCAATTACTGGCATCATTAATGGATTGAGTGACCTTTAACAATAATACATGGCTTCATATGAAGCATTTATTTTTCACACTTGTTTTATGTCACCAGCAATATTGCTATTCAATATTGAATAGCATTGGATGACCAATGAAGTGCCAACATTATCCAAAGACTTTGCAATTTTCAGGCTAGTTAAAACTGGGATAAATAAGAAAAATAATTTAGAATTAAGCAGCAAAATATTAGCACAACTTTTTGGTTTACATAATAATATGACACTTAATGGTAGATTGCTCAAAAACTCAATGTTTCGATAGATACAGTTGTAAGAACATTAGAGTGTTTTGTGACAGCTGGGAGTATATCTAATAAAATGAAAAGATGTATAAGAAAAACATGCAATTGAGAGGATAGTATCATTCAAAACTTCCAACATTAAAGCATTTCTTAGTGGATTGGCCCTCTGTTGTCTCTTTTCTTTTAAATGGTTGTCATTTTTGTTTTGGTTTTATTTGATGTGACATTAGTGCTAGAATTGTGGACAGAGCAAATTAAGCCTCAAAAACTTAGCTGAAAGGTGGAGTTTAAATTTGAAAGTCTACTGATATAGTGGTGAATAAACATTTCATCCAAATTAACTGTCTGTTGTGCCATTAGAAAGAGGCTTCACTAGTTGGGTGAATTTATGAAATTATCTAAACTTTGGTCTAAAACTGGCTGTAACATCAGTAGAACTTGCATTTGACTCGCACATCCCAAGAACATCAGTTATATGGTTCTGAAATTTTAAGCAACCAGATATATAATTGTTCTCATTGTTATTTGGTAAATGTCACTTTGGTGTTTGTGTATTAGAACATATAAAATGATGTATATTATAGTATGGTTTTCTATTACATTCCATTCAGATGTGTGGCTCTAGTGTGTTGCTGAGTGCGGAAATGTTCAAGTTAAAAAATGTATGTTCTTGTGTCCTGATTAGTTTTTTATAAAATATTCTGAATATTGGTACAATTGTACAAAGATTGATTATCTGTAAAAACATTGTAACATGTTAAAAAATAGTAAGTTGATCACAAATGTAAATTTCTATTTAAAAAAATGTCTCAGTTGTACAAGTAGTGGCTTGTTGCAATAGTTATAAACTGCATGTTGGACTGTTATGAAACTAAATTTTTGGTAATTCAATAAACTGAATAATGTTAGCATCCTTTGATAGTAATTTGGAGTTACAATCAATAACACTTGAGTGAACTAACTCATTGCTACTCATATATCTTGGACTGCTACAATTATAAGATCTTTTTTATTTTTCATATGTGGTACACCATGTCTCAGAATAATATCCTGACATACTTTTATCAAATGAGTAAAAGATAATGTTATTATATATTATTTATTATAATGAGAAGATGAAAATTGAAATTGGCAAACTACAAAGTATGGAAAAGTAAAAAAGGATTTCTTTGATTTAAAGCTAATGAGCTCATGATGTATCATTCAGATTCAGCTCTAAGTTGTACACCATAAGGTGTGATAAAAAAAAATATATAAAAAATTAATAATTGTGCTGTCAATAAATAAATATATACTCACATAGTGAGTGTATATCACAACTAAACCAATATGAATGAATGAATGACCCTTTTCTACCCAGGATAAATACATAAATAAAAAAAATTAAAATTTTAACGGAAAGTAGGGATCGTTGGTTATTTGTAGAATTGCAATAAAAAGTACACAAACAACTAAAGTGATACTAGTTGTACAGATTTTAAAAGGACTTTCAATCCCTACTTAACTCTTGTTTCATTACTTTTTGTAGGATCCCTACTTCATTTTAAAATTCATAATTTTTTAATACTCTTGGTTGTTTACTTTTTATGTTATACAGTGCCTTGCAAAAGTATTCACCCCCCCCTGCAAAGTTTCCACATTTTGTTGCCGTCTCAGCTTGAAATCATGAAACTTCCAAATGGAACTTTATATTTAGAATCTACATAATCTACTCCAAACTGAGAAAGCTAAAAAAATGCTGAAATTATGTAAGTAAGTTAGATTTTCCAAAAAAATTTGAATATTCTCAATTGCATAAATATTCAACCCCTTTGCTACAGCAACCGTAAATCAGTTCAGGTGCAAAAGATTAGTTTGAAAGGCCATAAAATTAGTGTAATGGTCTCTGTCTGTGTAATCAAAGTTGTTTAACTTGACTTCAGAGTATATGCATCTGTTCAAGCCACAACTCACATAGTGATAGAACACACCAACCATGAAGATGAAGGAACTTTCCAAACAAGTCAGAGATAAACTGTTAGAGAAGCTCTAATCAGGAGATGGTTACAAGAAAATTTCAGTCACTTATCCCTTTTGAATATAATGAAGTCCATCATTAAAGAAGTGGAATGTGCTTCATACCACCCAATCACTACCCAGATCAGACCACCCTTCCAAACTGAGCAGCTGGGCAAGCAGAAAACTGGTTAGGAATGCCACTGTGAAGCCAACAGGGACTTCTAAAGATTTGTAGAGTTCCATGTCTGAGATTGGAGTTAGTGTTCATACATCAACAATATCTCGGTCACTACTCAAAGCTGTCCCGTATGGGAGTGTGGCAAAAAGAAGCCATGCCTGAAAAAGAATCATCTTAAATCTCGTATGCAGTTTGCAGCAAAGCATGTAAATGATACTGCAAACATGTAGCAGAAGATTTTGTGGTCAGATGAGACAAAAATTGAACTCTTTGGTCTAAATTCAAAGTGTTATGTCTGGCACAAGTCCAACACTGCACATCACCCAGTCAACACCATCCCAACTGTCAAACATGGTTATGGGGATGCTTTTCATCAGCAGGGTCGAAAATTCACATTTCATCAGGACAATGAGCCGAAGCACAAGGCTAAAACCACACTGGAATGGTTTCAAAAGAAGAAAGTGAATATCCTGGAGTGGCCCAGTCAAACTCCTGACTTGAATCCAATAGAAAACTTATGGTGAGACTTGAATATTGCAGTGCATCAATGATCCCCAACAAACTTGTCAGAATTGGAGCAATTTTGTCAGGAAGAATGGGCAAAAATAACACCATCCCATTGTGCAAAGCTGGTAGAGACCTATCCAAAAAAGACTCACAGTAGTAACTGCTGCTAAAGGTGCTTCCACCAAGTACTGACTTAGGGGACTGAATATTTATACAATCAGCAAATTTCAATTTATATATTTTCTTTGCAAGTTTTGCTGGTATTCAACTTCCTTCACAAATAACAATGTTAAATTTGGTCATTTGAGTTTTGAATATAAACAAGTTCATTAAAACTTTTTTTACATTATTTGTATTTTGTTAAAATGTGACATTATTGGTAGGGGGATGAATACTTTTACAAGGTACTATACCTGTATAAAGTATATACTTTACCTTTAGAAACTGTAGTGTATCTATATGGATTTTTATTGGAATATCAAAAGCGGAAACCTGCAGTCAGTCAAGTTAAGCTTGAGAAATCTTGTAGCAATAATCCAAACCATCTAGGTGCATTACTTAATATGTAGAATGTTTTTAGGGCCCGATTAATTTTGTATATATAATAGACACACATGCACACAAATCAAAAACACTACAATGAAACTAAAGCATCTAAAATTATTTTTTCATTGACAGTCCTCATTGTTATCATTAAGTCATAACGGATAATTTCTGTAGCCATAGCACATCAGCATTGGGATCTTGTCTGATATTCCATCTATCAGACAAGATCCCAATGCTGATGTGAAACTAGCCAGTAACTATGGAAAATCAGTTAAGGTTTAGGAGTTGAGTATTTGAACCCACAATGTCTCAACTCCTACTGCCTGCCTGCAGCCAGTTGTGGGAAGGCATTTACCCTTATTACTAAGATATAACCTGAAAGTACCAATAAACCACATCAGGAGGAAGATGGGGGTTTAAGAACTATTTAGGTAAGGGTTTTTAGTTCTGTTTAACATCACTTTGTAATTATTAAAAAAGTAGTTTTTTTTAACTTAAAATATAATATTTCTGCATGTTATGTTACAGTATTTTTATAGCAAAACAAATATTCCCCAATTCTGATGTCTGGAATCTCTTAAGTTAAACATGTATCAGATTTTCATAACTTGTTTAATTTGTTGTCTAAATTATTGTAATAGGGATGGTAAATCCTATATTTTTAATTTTCCATTTTAAATTAAGCACTGTATTCATGTATATGTTTCTCACTTTACTTGAATTATACATTTTTGAATGACTTGTGTTGTACAACTGTTGATGTAAGTGTATTTCATAAACCACAAAATTCCTTAAGAGTTAATATTACAGGACTTTCCAGTTTGAGTGAATTTCCAGCTTAACAGTTTAACTTTTTTTGTTAGGTTTAGTGAAGGTGGCCAGCAATGTGGGTCTTAACCTCTTGGCTCCACGTAAAAAAATTATTGTCATGTTGATTGGAAATCACTCAGCAGGGAAAAGTACCTTCATCAACTGGTAAAATACATCCAACTTTCAGTCTTTCATTTAACAGGAAATTATATTTTTGTTTTTTACTTATTGAACTAAGTTAGTAAATCAGGCCTTGACAAATATTTTCAGATCTAGGACCCAGCCCAAAATCTCAGGAGCCAGGTGTGCCTAACCTAACTTCAATACCGGGAAACTACCAGGAAATTGAGGCTAAACTAGTGCCTCGATTATCCACAATCTTTGATTATCCTGGTTTTTTTTTCTTTTCCCAAAAATTTCTCAAAATAATTGTGCCATTACAATTCTAGACATTAATTTACATGTTTTGGAGACATTGTTGCTCAGAACTTAATTTTGTTTGCAAAAATTCAGGTGTTAAATGATATCTGGGGTTTTCGTGTGCAGGATCTGGTGTGAGTTCAACTTGTAAGTTGGCCAGTTCAAACCTAGCCTTGCCTCTTTTATTTTCAGCTATTAAGATAGGAATACAAAATATTTGTAGCTTGGTTAACTTTGTTTGAATGGTGATTAAAAACATAGTATACAAAGACACAGAAAATACACATTAAGATTTCTTAAAAATTTCACTCAACTTATGTTGTCGTCCACTGTTCTATGCTGCATGGCGAGCGTCCTGTAACTACAGATGCACGTTCAGGTTGTGTGGAATGTTGTCCAGTTACACATTGTCTTCTTCCCTGCAGGTAATTGGTATCTTCAGTCTGTGTTAAGAAAGGTTTTATCGTAATAATTCCTAAGCATAGATTTACATTATTTTTTGACTTGCTTTTCACAGGGGTTAATAAGGGTGTAAATGCACTTCTATGTCTATAGCAGAAAATGTGCCAAAATTAAGGAGCTGTTTACACCTACGTTAGCGATTAATTTCAACTACAACAGAAACGGGCAATCAAAAGATTAAGTATTATAGGAGAAAAAGTGGAATTGGACTCATGTAACCGAGCATGAAATCGAGCTTGACTGTCTGACTGACAGACAGACACTTGGGTTTATGATTATGAAGATTTTTATCATTTTTCCTGATAATGTGATTAAATGACAGTAAAAAGATTTTAACTTTAAAACAAGGAACTTAAATATATTGAAAAACGTTATTTAGATTAAACAATGGGCTAACTAGTGAGATACACAAGTACCTCAATTATCAGCTGTTTCTGTTATCTGTGACCTTTTGCTTTCCCCAGACCAGCACAGATAACTGAGGCATCAATGTGTGTTTACTTTCACAGCAACAAGTGTATGCTAATGATAGTATTGCTGGAACTAATTGCCTTTGATTGCCTCGTCTGAGTCTAAACATGCACTGGTTGATTAAATTGAGAGAAAGAGAAAAACAAAATGGCACAAAATTAATAACTTTGAAGTGCTGAATCTGGCATTAAAATCCTAGAAACAAATACATGAAGTGCTGAATCTGCCATTCAAATCCTGGAAGCAAAGTTTTATTTAGCACAGCCCTATGCACGAATAAAATGGGAAAAAATACTACGCCCAACGAGGAAATTTTTAGTCACCATGGTGACCTGGCACCTGGGATTTGTTGAGGGCTGTAGTAAATATTGAAAGAGTAATTTGTACAAGTAATTACAGTTTTACAATTAATCAGTAACTGATATTGGATGTTGGTGATACTATGCTTCTGAAAATATGTTTCAAATAATAAGATATGTTTTATGTTTTCATTGAAGTATTTAATACATTGTGTGCATACAAGTATGTATGATGACCTTCATTGTTTACAAAACAGAGAAGTATGTAAATATGAAAGTTAATATAACATATGATTGCAATCTGAGTACTGATGAATAAAATATTTCTTGATGGTCTTGAGTGTCACTTAAGTGGTAAAAGTCTCAGCTATTTGTGAGTCAGATATCAAAATTTTTGAATTATTCTTAATCTCCTCCAGTACATACATTTTTATGTTAACTTCTGTTTCTAGTGAGAAGTCAAAGGAAGTCTCAAAACAAGGATCTAGAATTATGGCTATAGATAAATGTTTATTATGATTCATGTTAAAATCAAGATTCTATACCATTTTTATAAGTTATCTTTTTAGTGTGTATTCCTTTGTTGCAATGTTTTAATAATCTGCTTCACTACTAATTAATGAACAGAATATATGTTAGTTTCAAATTTAAACAATATATATTTTTTTTTACATTGACTTTTGGTGAGACTGGAGGCTTCATTTATTAACATTCACATTCCTTAAGAGAAGAGCTTGCTCTACTATTATTGAAAACTAGATTAATATGTTAGAGCACAAAAAAAAATAACTTTCAGAAAATTAACAGTGGACTTTTTAATTTTTTGTTTTATTATTTTTTTGTCACAGTTTTGGAAAAAAACAAATATTTTTAGAATAGTAAGAAAGTGCAATAACAGCAGTATTATAAGGATACTGTATCACATTATTTCTGTTAGCCCATAAAGTTTTTAATCATTAAATAAATGAACTAAATAAAAAATAAACACAACATTGCAGCATATTAAAACTAATATAATTGTATGTTGTATTTATAGATATATTGATTATAAGTCAAAAAAGATAATTATACAAATCATTGGATAGGTTTCACTTCAAATACTGTGTACAGTTTTGGTTTTCTTATTCAAGAAAGGCTATTGATTTATTGGAAATGGCTCAAGAGAAATTAGTAATATGGTTCCAGGGATAATAGATTATCTTACAAAAATAAGTTAGATTTCTTAACTAACCTTTTTTTCTCAAAAAACAAAAACTAAGAGGTGAATTTATTGAAGTTTACAATATTATCAAGATTAATATAATAAAGGTTCCTGTGCTAAGCCTCGTTTATTCTTTCAAATGGAAAGAAAAGACATTAATTTTTGTAGCTTTCAAAGACACATTTCAGAAAACCAAAAATTATGAAGAGTAGTTCAGAGTAGTGTTTTACTTGTCAACCAGAAACCTACCTGTCACAACTGTTACCCGATTGTAAATTTATTACATGGTTCTTTAAAAAAAAAATTATGCAAAGTTTAAGTCAAAGTAATGTAAACAGAGCTGCAGACAAACAATTATTTTAAAAGAAAACAGTAAAGAAAAATCAGAAACAAGCAAAAAAAAAAGTCACGACACAGAGAGTAAAGACGAAAATGGAAGCAATCATAGTGATAGAGTCTAAGATTAAATTATAGTGGCAGGCCAGTGACATTAATTAGTAAGTCATTCATCTTTAAGCTTAACAGTGTACAACAATCATTGAGTACCTTATAAATCAAGTTAATCAACCGTTCATTATACTCTTAAAATTTACTTATACCATACTAACTTTTACCTCTTCCATTGAAAATAATGAATATAGGAGACAAAGAATCAATTAAGTAAGCAGCAAATTTTGAATAGTCCATTTTTAAAGTTTTCTTTATTAACTGATTATTGGCTGATTCACTACATGCAGTCTGTTCGTGGTTACTGCCATTTTGTAGCGTGGTGCAATCTACATTCTAGGACAAAAATGAGGCCTATCACTCATAAGAAACTTTCAAACCTGATAACAGTGTGATTTGTAATAGTAAATACTGTAAATTATTATATCAATATGAATATGATCTTCCAAAAGTTTCTACATTTTTGTATAACTAGTTTAACATGTTTCAACTGTAGCTGGCTGTTGGTCATCATATTTCAAAGTATTAAGATGTGATGATCATTACCATGGAGTTTTTGTTTCACTTCACTACAATTTAAGTGAGAAACTCACACATGAATCTTAATGGGGTATTATCAAAGTTTTGTCATTGAAATATTTGAGGTAACCTCTGCCCATTAATTGTGCTAAATTTTCTGATAGCGCAGGTGCACTCAGCAATCTTGTAATCTTTCAATGTGTGTTATAATGACAGGTGGCTGTAGAACCTCGTAATGGGTGTACGTAAATGTATGTACATACAACCTAAAAAAATGTTGTTGTCATGTATAAATATTGCCTGTACTGAGCAGATATTGTGTAATGACAGTTAGCCAAAGTGAACAGTTAAAAATTACTGTGTTTTGTTACCATTTACCAATATTAATAAGTTAATAGTATTCAATTGAAGAAACAATTGGAAGCTTTATACTTTGATATTATTTTCATGACCATTAAATCAGTGCTCATTTCTTATTGGAGAAGAATAAAAAAATGGAGGTTTGTTTGTTTGAATTTGTTTCAATACCTCATGTAGAATAGTGAGAATACATATAGCAGTAGGGATGCACAGGTACCCGGCCAGATATTTGGCCTCACCCAGGTATGTGCGATACCCGGTAATATTTGGTTGCAGCCGAGTGTCAAAGTCAAGCATCAAAGCCCTAATCTTTGTTACAACTAACACGGTACTGAAAGTTACAGTCAGTAATTGGTTTAGTTAAAATAAAACGTGTTCCAAGCAAAGAAAGACTGACTGCCTGCTAAAAATTGGGGATTCAGAGAACAATAGGGGTTAATAACAGGCATGGCTTGAGAAGTGGATTTCTGTGGTAGAGGGGGGGGGGATTAGGGTTAGGATTTGAGAACTTGGGGCTAGGCACTGAAAGTTGAAAGTAAAACTTGAATATTCCGTTGGTGATTATTCGGTTAAATGTAATAAATGTCAATTTTGTTTTTGTTTCTAATTTTTGTGTATGTTGTTATTTTGTTTTTGGTGGTGAAGTACGACAGGAATACTCGATCCCAGTTGACACTCGGCCCCAGCCGAAGCAGTGACTGAGTATCCAGACCAGGTATTCGGCCAGATTTTACTATCTGTGCATCCCTATACAGTAGCCTATACTTTGCAGGCCTATGCTATAATATACACAATGGCCGCAAAAAGTTCCTGGGTTAACATCATTTTCATCTTTCATTTATAATTATATCATTTACTGTTTCTTTTACTTTTCCATCCAGGCATTCATAACTTTTTATTATTGGCAGTTTTAGATATGCTTTTGCTAGAAAAATAAAGACAACATTGCACAGGAAGTAAACTTAAACTGTGTGGCATCATGGTTCATATTGTCATATTTTCTGCATGTTAGTAACTGTTTTTTGCTACCCACTCAAACTCACCTGTTCTCATTCCTTTTGAAGTCAAACTTTGGATCTAATTTTTTTGGAGCCCAGACTGGACAAAATTTATCCCATGGAGTGGTCCCTCAATCATCATATTTTCCAGTTGCTATGCTCACAGAGCTGGATGAATTTGCCACTTTCCTCAATTCCAAGTTACCTCATTTTTGGTCTCTGGTTCCTCATCCACAATCTCTAGCTGTTGATGCATTAAGCCTGGATTGGACTGATTGATACCTTTATATTTATCCTCCAATCCATCTTCTTTCCCAAGTGATTTCGATCATCCATGCCACTCCATGTCAGGTTCTTCTGATTGCTCTTTACTGGCCTAAACAGATATGGTTTCCTTGACTACTTTAACTCCATACTACCTGCCCTTGCCTCTTCCTCTAACTTCATCCCTTCTAAGTCAACCTCAGTCACCAATATTTCTTCCTTCCCTTTCTATCCTACGTCTTCATGCCTGGCATTTATCAGGTCCTTGGTGAGGATATCCAGATTTTCTGAGCATGTCACTTCCTTTTTAGCTCATTCCATTGGTCCTTCCTCATTTGGGGTTTATTAACATAAATGAAACATCTTCCACCATTGGTCTTTGAGACAGGGTTTTCCCCTTCTCGACCCATTGTTCCTATTGTTACAAATTTACTCACCTGTTCAATTGTGAAACTTTGGTCTCTTCCATTGTTGGATATCGACCAGTCTTATCCCACACCTTCCATTTTTCCCATTACCATTTTGTGTTTACTTCCCTCCCTTCTCCCTTTTGTTGCATTTCTTCTGGATTCATAGACTTCCTTGTTAAGTGGTTCTTCCGGTTTTGAATGTTGCTATGGTTTTTCACTGCCTTATTCTACTTCCGTTTGAACCTTTATCCTCCTGTTCTTTGTTTCATTTGTCCCTTATGACCTACTTCCTACTCCTATTAGCCTGTAGGTGTTGTTGGGCTGATATATTTGCCATCAACATTTCATGCACTCTGTACCATTTCACATATGTTCTGTCTTATCCGGATTGATCTTTCCTTCCATCTCCCATCTTTATTTTCGATCTGATCTGCATAGGATTCTATATCCCATATGTGTTCTTTGTTTTTATATTACTCTCATGGCTTCTGTTCATGTTTCTTGTTCCCACCTTTTCATTCTTTGGCAACATTCCTTTGTTCATGACCTTTCTCCTTGAATACTTACCAGTGGGGTCGGCTTATAATTTCACTGGCTTATTCCTCCTTGTCTCCGTCTTCTCGAAATCTGTTCCAAGTGTTGTCATATCAGATCAGCACCTTACCTTTTTCCTGGTGTCTTACTTTTGTCATTCACTGGAGGAAATTCTTCAAGCGGGCATGTGCACTACTACTAATATGATCATCTCTCACTATTTACTTTGGGTGGCTGTTTCTGCCTCATCAGGGTACCGTTTTTCACCTGTTGTCATCCTTCAAACTTCAGTGAAACCGTGTCTGGATAAATTATCTTTTTTGTATATACATTTTTTTCTTTCAGGGGCTCATGTCCCTTTTTTATCATCATGTTGCCACTCTGTACAGAGCGTTGCCTGTCCAGGTATACATAAAATATCACAAATTTGCACTGTACAGCCATGATATTATCATAAAATACAATATTACCATGGCAAATAACACACACTGTTGAGATGGGGTGTTCCACAAGATCACTATCAGATTTTCTTCATGATATATTTGCTTCATTAATATGCCTGTTTGGGATTGTACTAATCCATGGACTTACATGAGTAAAGCAGATGGGGATAGCTGCCCATTTCTGCTATCCCATCAATTGAATAAATCAGAAGTGGTCTATTTTTCAATATAGGGTTTTTGTAGTAACCCATTGCACTGCCTCCGGTGTTAGCATTCCTCCGAACTTTCCACTGCACTTTATCCCTCCTTGTTCTTCTTCTTCTGGAGTATGGGAGTTATTGCCACTTTCCAGTTCCTAGCCACTGGGGTGGTGGACCATGGAGGTTTTCTTCTGAATGTGACCTAACACTAATAAATAAATACACAACATCCATTCAGTTGAGAGTTGGGTGGTGATGTTCTGCTGGTATAGATGATGTTGGTCCTTCATTCAGGTGCTCCATCTTTGTATGGTGGGCTCCGAGGGTTGATTTTGTACTCGGCTTTTGTGACTATCCAGAGGATGTGGTTGTATATCATTTATAGAAGCAATTCACTTCCATGTGGTGGTACCTGGAAGGTCACGATTTGCTGCAGTGCTCTATGGTCCTGCCTGAGGGGATGATGTTGCACAAGTCTACTAATAAATATGGTGGGCTCCAAGGGTTGTTGTTGCACCACACTTCTGTAACTATCCGGAGGGTGTGGTTGCATGTGACTTCTATGGGCAATCCACTTCCATGCAGTGGTATCTGGAAGTTCACATTGCACTCCAGTGCTATACGGTCCTGTCCAAGGAGATGATGTTGGTTTGGAGTTGATCAATCATATTGCAGTTTACCTCTCAGATTGGGATCCCTTGTCTTACCATCACCTGGATGCTGGTTCCCATTGAGTGGATTTGGATTAGAGCTGGACCAATCAGCGTAAATCTTCACATGTGTTTGTTGTGATTTCTCATCCTAACTCAATTTTCAAAGTTTTGGCTCATATTTTCCACCTCTGTGCAGTGGGTCCTGTAGGTTGATGTTGTTTTTATACATGTGTTTCAATCTGGAGAATGATGTTGTTTGAGTTGAAGGTTCTCCCTCTAGTGCTCCACCTCAGAGAGTTCCTCTATCTTCGGCTGCTGATGTGCAGTGGGGTTCCAGTCAGATTGGGTTTGGTTTGATGTGAACTGCCACATTGGCACATCCCTTGCTACCATCATTCAGATGTCAGGTTACTAA